TTGAGGGAGCCAGATAAATGGAGACTGGGGCAGGGGCAGAAAGCACAGCCAAAGGGATATTAAAGGAGGTGGAGAGTCAAGCTTGGGGTTTGGAGAGGCGTAGCAAGGGCCATGAGAGGGGAGAGAGGATGAGGTAGCAGGACAGTGTAACCCTAGCTGATGATGCCATATTTCCCCTCATGGAAAGGGAAGCATCTTCAGAGTGTTTGTGCTTCTGAGACAGGGTCTCTATGCAGATCAAGTTGGCCTCAAGCTCACAGCAATTCACTGTCATAGCAATTCACTGCCACAGCCTTCCAAGCGCTGGAATTAAAGCATCAGCAGCAGAATTTTAAGCTAGAAAGGGAAGGAATACATTTGTTTTTCAACAGTCTTTCAGGCTGACTGGTTGTGGAGAATGGAAAACAGGGAAACAAAACCAGAAATTGGGTCAGGTTTTAGGGGATGGTTCCTTGCTTTTGGTAGGTAGAAAAGGGTTGGAATAAGGGAATTTAAGAAATACTTAAGGGGTGGGATTGGTAAATCTTCAGTGGCCAAAGAACACTCATAAATGCGTGCTGTAAGTTTGGTTGTATTGTGTCAGTAGACAAATGCAATAGAAAAACACTGGAGGAGGTACCCAGAACCTGGCACTACTGCCAGTGCACACTAAAACCTCCTTAACTATCCTTTGGGGCCATCTTGTTCATACATTTACACTCTCAGGAGATACTAAAAAGGAACCCTCCCGGCCTTCCTGTGTGTGTTCTCACTCCCACCCCCAATCTTTCTGCACTGGGCAACTTCTAATTGTACTTCACTCGTTTATGATAAGGGTTTATCTGACCTTTCTGGCTTCTTAAAGCATGTTTCATTTGCTCACCATTGGCCTTTTTGCCTAACAAAAGGACTTCAAGACCAATCAGCAAATGAAAGGAGCAGGGAGAGAGAGCAGGTACATCGACTTTTATTTTGTGTTGCAGTTGGCTGTTTCTCTGAGATCATTAAATATACAAGTAGGAGAAATGTTCATGTTCCAGCTCTGAGCAAATGAGTAGGTGGAGTCCACTTGTAGAGAAAGGGAGCAAAGGAAAAGATGTTTTACGAAAATGTGTGGTGCTTTCTCATTGCTTTGACCCAATACCTGATAAGGAACTTCATGGACAGAGTTTTATTTTGCTCTCTGAGAGACTGCAATCCATCATGGCAGGCAAGACATGGTGGCAGGTGGACCCAAGGTGTTGAGAGCATGTAGCAGCAGCTCCCGGCTCCCACAACTCCACAGAGCAGGATACAGAGAAAGGGGGCTGCCAGTGCTCAGGTGACTTTCTCTTGTTTCCCTTTTTATTCAGTTTAGGAGCTGAAAATGTTGGTAAGCTTTTATCTTACTACTCCATGATCAAGAGTGACTCAGGAGATAAATCCTGGCTGGAGATACCATCATGAAAGTCAGGGAATACAGATGTGGGTGGCTTCACAGACTGGTGACAAGTCCCACACCCAGAAGGATCTTGGGCTTCCTTTAGTGCTCTGTGCCCGCCTTCTGGAAGCTCTTAAGTTTTGAGCAGGGAGCATGTTTTCATTCTGGGCAGGGCTGGTGGGGACCGTAGAGAGCTTTACAGGGCTGGAGTCTGAGTGCTTAGATGACTTTTCATAGCTCCTTTTCCCACAGACCCTCCACCTGTGTATTCCCAGAACCAAAATTTTGCTCTTCTGCTCTCTCTGTATTATTCTATTTGCTTTGACCCTTGAACGCTGCCAATTTTCAATCATTGTGGTTTGTGATTGTAATTAAAATGTTTCTGTGGCCGCTCATGTAGCTCAGTTCGTAGAATGCTTGCCTAGCATGCATGAAGCTCCCAGGTTTCATCTCCAGCACCCCATGTATAGCAAGGCATGCCTGCAATTCCAGTATTCAGCAGAAAGAGGCAGGAGGACCAAAGGCTCAAGATGATCCTCTGCTGCATAGCAAGTTTGAGGCTAGCCTGGGCCATATGAGATCCTCTCTCTCAAAAACAACCAAACAAACACAACAACAACAACAACAAAAACCCAAACCAAACGAAACCACAATCATTCTGTCCCATATTGCAACCATCACATGTTCATGTTTCATATTGTTACGTCACCATGGTTAAGGGAGTTCTGTAATAGGGCAGACTGAGTTTGAAGTCTTGTATGTAAGTTAGTTCAGGTAAATTTCCTCAGTTTCTCTGAACATTTGTTTCCACATCTGAAGATCATTATGGGCATTACATTAGATAGTGTGTATGTAAAGATCATTATGGGCATTACATTAGATAGTGTGTATGTAAAGATCATTATGGGCATTACATTAGATAGTGTGTGTGTAAAGTGCCTTATGCAGTGCTTGGCGCATTGTTAGCATTTAATGTACAGTGTTAAAAATTTTTACTCAAATATGAAGAAGTAGGAACACTTGCTGTTATTGGCTGTTTTCCTCATTTATGTGACCAAACACCTAACAAGAAACAAATGAAATTAGGAGAGATTTATTTCGTCTTGCTACAGAACACAGTGGCATGTGCTTGCACGAGGGTGGCAGGAGCTGATGGCGGCTGCTTGCTCACCACTGTGTGGATCAGGAACAGAGACTAGTGAGAAAATGAGATGAGTCTGTAAACCTCAAGACCCGCCCCTAGTGACTATTTCCTCCAGTGATACTTCACCTCTTAAGGGGTTCCACACCCTCCCTAAACACTCTACTGGCTGGGGACAAAGTTTTCAAATGCAAAATGGCAATGTCTGCTTTAAAAATGTGGATGTATTTAGCAGGAGTAAGGGGAACAGTGATTTGGTTTGTTTCAGCAGATATCTATTTGTCTGTCTGTCTGTCT